AGATTATAATCCCACTCTGACCCGGGGGTCACCACAGAGGCGCTCTGGTCAAGGTTCCTCTCCATCGGTGGATTCGGCCTCCTGAATCACAGAAAAGCAGAAATATTTTCAATAAATAAAATCAAACTGAGCGGCTCTGACAATCTCCAGAAATCATTTCTCACCTTCAGTTTCCTGTGAAGGAAGTTCAGCTTCTGGTTGAGCCGTTCGATCTCCTGCGAAGGGAAACAGAACCGTTGAGCTGCAGGTCCGACAGCGCCGCCACCTGGAGGGAGGACCCACCTGGTTCAGCTTGTCATGGCGGCGCAGTTCGATCTGAGGCAGCAGCTCATCCAGTCTCTGGATCTGCAGCAGGAACAGAATAATTATTTTAATGCATCATCAGGAGCGAAACGTCCAGTCAGCAATCATAAGAACATAATATTTACAATCTGCTTCTTTTAGTTCCATCATAATTCTCGTGATGCCATGTCTGTCTTTTTTTTGTGTTTTAACTTCTTGTTCTCCCTCCATCCTGACCAGATCAACTGCTTCACATTGAACTGCTATGAAACCTGCAGTCCTGCCTCCTCCACCAGGCGGCAGCACCTCACCCTCCTGTCCACGGCCTGCAGCCTGGTTTTCATGCTCCGGCTGATCACAGTCACTGGAATGGTTCTGGGTTTGGGACGAACTGAAGCAAACACACATTAATAATCAGCTTATTGATCAGTGACTGAATCAGAAACGAGGAATCGGTTTGATAAATAAACAGATCAGTTTTATTTGAATGATTTATAATCATTTAAGTCAGACATGATTATAATAATTATTCTGTATCTTTATGAAAAAAGAAACTTTGAACTTCATGGCTCAAGTCTACATGTTGTTTCAAGATTTCCATAAAATGTTTTTTCTCATGTGTCGTCCCTCCTGCAGCATGATGCTGCCACCACCGAACTGTTCTCAGGTTACTATGATTATTATGATTGTTATTAGTACCAAACAGTTTCAGCTTCATGAGAAATGAGTCATTGTCTGTGTAAGTCTGAAAACTGTTTTTTTTTTACAATAATTAACATCAGATAGTGAGAAAAACTCAAATCATTTCTTGTTTCAGCTCAATATTTCAGATTTTGTGGTATGATGGAGGAAGCAGGAGCGTGAAAAGCTTTGTGTTCGCATGTAAATGTTTTATCTTAAATTAGTCTAACTCTCATTTAGGAGTTTTAATGTGATAACATTTAGTGTTAGATTACCGTTCTGGAAGAGCCGCGTCACTTCAAGCACATGGGGCCTGTGGGGAGAAACACTGGTGACTGTGGGCTCTGTGGGAGTTAGCGCTGGTCATGCTACATACGTGTGTTTGCTGCCAGCAGGAATGGAGGCGTTGAGGGGGATCAGGCAGCCGCCCGGATTCCTCATCTGCACATGATATTTGAGAAACGATGAAACTGGTGTGGAATGGTGTGGAATGGTGTGGAGTGGTGTGGAATGGTGTGGAGTGGTGTGGAGTGGTGTGGAGTGGTGTGGAATGGTGTGGAATGGTGTGGAATGGTGTGGAATGGTGTGGAGTGGTGTGGAATGGTGTGGAATGGTGTGGAATGGTGTGGAATGGTGTGGAGTGGTGTGGAATGGTGTGGAATGGTGTGGAATGGTGTGGAATGGTGTGGAATGGTGTGGAGTGGTGTGGAATGGTGTGGAATGGTGTGGAATGGTGTGGAATGGTGTGGAGTGGTGTGGAATGGTGTGGAATGGTGTGGAATGGTGTGGAATGGTGTGGAATGGTGTGGAGTGGTGTGGAGTGGTGTGGAGTGGTGTGGAATGGTGTGGAATGGTGTGGAGTGGTGTGGAGTGGTGTGGAGTGGTGTGGAGTGGTGTGGAATGGTGTGGAATGGTGTGGAGTGGTGTGGAGTGGTGTGGAGTGGTGTGGAGTGGTGTGGAGTGGTGTGGAATGGTGTGGAATGGTGTGGAGTGGTGTGGAGTGGTGTGGAGTGGTGTGGAGTGGTGTGGAGTGGTGTGGAATGGTGTGGAATGGTGTGGAATGGTGTGGAGTGGTGTGGAGTGGTGTGGAGTGGTGTGGAGTGGTGTGGAATGGTGTGGAATGGTGTGGAATGGTGTGGAGTGGTGTGGAGTGGTGTGGAATGGTGTGGAATGGTGTGGAATGGTGTGGAATGGTGTGGAGTGGTGTGGAATGGTGTGGAATGGTGTGGAATGGTGTGGAATGGTGTGGAATGGTGTGGAATGGTGTGGAATGGTGTGGAATGGTGTGGAATGGTGTGGAGTGGTGTGGAGTGGTGTGGAGTGGTGTGGAATGGTGTGGAATGGTGTGGAATGGTGTGGAATGGTGTGGAATGGTGTGGAGTGGTGTGGAGTGGTGTGGAGTGGTGTGGAATGGTGTGGAATGGTGTGGAATGGTGTGGAATGGTGTGGAGTGGTGTGGAGTGGTGTGGAGTGGTGTGGAATGGTGTGGAATGGTGTGGAGTGGTGTGGAGTGGTGTGGAGTGGTGTGGAGTGGTGTGGAGTGGTGTGGAGTGGTGTGGAATGGTGTGGAATGGTGTGGAATGGTGTGGAGTGGTGTGGAGTGGTGTGGAGTGGTGTGGAGTGGTGTGGAATGGTGTGGAATGGTGTGGAATGGTGTGGAGTGGTGTGGAGTGGTGTGGAATGGTGTGGAATGGTGTGGAATGGTGTGGAGTGGTGTGGAGTGGTGTGGAATGGTGTGGAATGGTGTGGAATGGTGTGGAATGGTGTGGAATGGTGTGGAATGGTGTGGAATGGTGTGGAATGGTGTGGAGTGGTGTGGAATGGTGTGGAATGGTGTGGAATGGTGTGGGAATGGTGTGGAATGGTGTGGAATGGTGTGGAATGGTGTGGAATGGTGTGGAATGGTGTGGAATGGTGTGGAATGGTGTGGAATGGTGTGGAATGGTGTGGAGTGGTGTGGAATGGTGTGGAATGGCGGAGATTTGAGCGTCGCTCAGGAACCTTCAGCGCCACGTTGGGAAGGTTCAGCCCAAAGGCCCGGACCAGGATCTGTGGAGACATGTGAACAACTCACAAGATGCTAAAACTGATTCTGATCAATAACCCCATCATAAATGCATCAATGAAACTTTTTCTGTTTTTCCTGCTGAGACGTGCAAAAACAAAAAATGCATCATAAATCATTTACACCTTAGAAATTATTATTATGAAACCAAGAAGTTTGATTCAGACAGGAAGCCAGAAGAATCACTTCAAAAAATAAAACGATTTAAAAAACAAATTTTATTTTGTGAAGGAAAATATTGGCAATAATTTTTGCTGGTTTTGATAAGCAGATGAGACGTGGGACTGGAGGAGCAGAAACCAAGCAAGCAGCTGTTTTGGACCCCCGGGGCGTCAGATGATGCTTCTGCATGCTGGTGTTCCCGCTCAGCCCGGTTTTTTGCCCAGATTTTCCCTTTACCACAATCTTACGACGCCCTGCAGTGCGTGGTGTGTTAGTGGTGGTATATTGAATATGGCCGATTATCGCAGCCTGTTGAATGTGACAGGGAGCCAATCAGAACGCGCGGTGACGTAAGAACGGAGGGGATCCCAAACCGCTGACATGGCAACTGAGAGTCCAGTGGACATCGGAGGTGACATGTGGAAATGTTTATTACTACATGTAAAGGTCATTTTATAAATGTGTTTATGTTTATTCAGTTAAAATGTGAACTATGATGAATCATAGAGCAGCTGCTCCTTTTATCAAACGCCTTTTCTTTTTGTTTCGTCTTTAAAATGATCCACAAACTATCACTGCTGCTCCTGCATCATCTTCTTATTCTGAATTCATTATGGGATTTTACTGGATCTCCTTCTGGAACCGGGACGTTCAGAGGAACCGGGACGTTCAGTGGAACCGGGACGTTCAGAGGAACCGGGACGTTCAGAGGAACCGGGACGTTCAGAGGAACCGGGACGTTCAGAGGAACCGGTTCTGGTGCCGTGGAACCGGTTCTGGTGCCGTGGAACCGGTTCTGGTTCCGTGTTGCTCCTGGACTCTCAAACCGACCGAACCTCTTGGACTTTTATCGGCTCTGAGGTCACAGAGGTTTGGGAAATCGGCCAACGATCCTTAAATCGTGAACCACATAAAAACTCACATCTGCTCTCCTCTCGACCTCTGACCTCACGCTGTCTGACTCTGGTCACCATGGTAACGGTTACATATCCCTTCAAAATAAGATGCAGATGGGCCACAAAACCAACATTTTCCTTTTCTAAACATTTACTCAGGATATCGACTGATGGACCCTGAGCTGTTTCTCCTGCTGGAGACGCTGAAGTGATGCTCAGGGAGACACTGGGTCTCCATGGTGATGCAGTCTGAAGCTTCATTGGCTCATCAGGTCACCTGACCATGCAGAGCAGCTTGGACTGTGGGAATCAACCCACCGGGACAAACCCATCCTCCTGCCTCTCTGGGCCTGCAGACAAACTTTCCAAAGAATCTGATCTGGTTCTGTTCATTTTGCTGCTTGTGGATCAATGTTGGCGCCAAAACACAGCCGAGAGAATCCGGTAAAGGATTTTCAAAATAAAAGATCCTCCAGAGTCAAATGATACAGAAAACAGAAATATTTCATTATTTCTTGCAAGGCCTGGTACCAACTTGTCCGCGGCCCGGTATTGGTCCGCGGCCCGGTATTGGTCCGCGCCCCGGTATTGGTCCGCGCCCCGGGGTTGGGGACCACTGGTCTAGAGGTCTGATGTCTCAGTGGCATCAATCCTGCAGCTGCTGCTGGAGTTCTGACCAGAACCAGAACCAGGAGGATGGAGCACATGGACCCGGTTGGTTCTACAGATCCTCACTGGCTCCCTGCAGCTCAGAGACTCTAAAACTGTTAGTTTATGAATCACTGAGCGGCTCAGCAACATATTAAAGATCTGCTGCTTCCAGACCCATCAGGTTCTGGTTCTGCTCTGCATCAGAACCAGAACCAGAACCAGCTTTCAGCTTCTTGGCACCACTAATCTGGAACAAACTTCCAGAAAACTGTAAAACAGCCGAAACCCTGAGATCCAGAGTCCAGACTGAAAGCAGCTGGTTGGTTTTATTGGAGATGTAATCATGAAACATTGATCACTAATCAATAATCGGATGTTCTCTGCATTTCTGTGCCTTAAAGCTCTTTGAAATGTCCTGCTGCTGAAAGATGTTAGACCAATGAAATTTGATTGATTGATTGAAAGTTTATTTTTGATTTCACCAACGCAACAAAAATGTAAAATAAAATCTGAAAAGTGTGGCATGGATCTGTTTTTCTAAACAAGATAAAATGATGCAGCTGCTTTCATATTGTGGCAGCAAATAAATGACCTAATTATAAAAACTGCAAATGATAAAAATGAAGCAGAGGATTTGGTCACCATGGTGATTTGGTCACCATGGTGATTTGGTCACCATGGTGATTTGGTCACCATGGTGATTTGGTCACCATGGTGATTTGGTTACCATGGTGATTTGGTTACCATGGTGATTTGGTTACCTGGGTGATTTGGTTACCTGGGTGATTTGGTCACCATGGTGATTTGGTCACCATGGTGATTTGGTTACCTGGGTGATTTGGTCACCATGGTGATTTGGTCACCATGGTGATTTGGTCACCATGGTGATTTGGTCACCATGGTGATTTGGTTACCTGGGTGATTTCGCTGACCGGCGCTGCAGAAGGAAAGGAGATTTTGCGGAGAACCTGGACTCCATCTGCAACTCAACATTAATAATGAGAATAAATGAAAAGATAATATGGAAATAATGAAATCATAAACATCTTCTTCAAAGTCATGAGGAAACGTCAGCGACTAAACAACCATGTAACACACACACACACACACACACACACACACACTCCATGCAGAGAGACCCGCGCTGGAAATCGAACCCAGAACCTCCCGCTGCACAGTGGCGCAGTGCCACCCACTGCCCAGTGCAGCCCTGGTTGGTAATAAGAAATTATTAACATATTTTGACGTCAGTTGCAGCTTTTTTATGCTCCTTCTCTGTTGGCTGAGAACCAGGATGACCAGACTGCGGGGAGGTATTTGAACGCAACATTTTCTTTCATAACGTTTCTTTCAAATCTGCTATAAATAGAAAACGTGTCTGATCCGGACCGCCTCAGATTATTGATCCATTAATCAGGGAGACAAACATGCAGCTTCAAACATCCGAGATAAAAATGATGTAAATCTTCCGGGACGGAAATGAATAATTCTACTTTTATCTGAATTTGTTGTTTTCTTCGATCAGCTGTGATGAAAGCAAATGTCTCTTTGTTCCTGCATCCAGGAACAAGAGACATTTTAACGCGTCCTTCAATTTCTGACACATTTTTCATAAAGTTTTTTCTCCACTCATCTGATGACAGCTCCGCAAAACGGTCGCCATGGCAACGGGTGCGCATTTCCCGCAGAGGGAAACTAAAGGACTGACCCGGTTGGTCCAGGCGCCTGAGCGCGACCCAGACCGCCGGTTCGACCCGGACCGCCGGTTCGACCCGGACCGCCGGTTCCTCTGCAGGTTCCTCCAGGACGACAGGAGTCATTTCACGCCTTCAGCCCGAAATCACGGCTTTTCGTACTTCCGGTTGGGATTTTCAAAATAATATGCAGACAGTTTGACTTCTTCTGTCAGGCTGAATAACATCAGGATTTCTGGACGATACGTTTTATGTAAAAGCATGCCACACTTTTCAGTTTGTGTTGTAAAATCATTTGGTTTTCTCTTTCTAATAAATCTTCTGTAGATAATTTACAGTTTGTGGTTAAAATGTTGCAAAATGTTAAAGGGTTTGAATACTAAGATGCTTTATGTAAAACTGCATCGTTTTTAGTTAAAAGTAAAAAACGATTTTAATAAATAAATGAACAGTAAAGAGATGCTGGTTCAAAATCCGGTTCATGAAAATGAGCTGAAACTCAGATGGATCAGCAGTTCTGCTCATTTTAAGTTTTATCTGTGATTTCCTGGACTGAACTTGAAACCGACCGGATCGGATCTGACCGGATCGGATCGGATCTGACCGGATCGGATCTGACTGGATCGGATCGGATCTGACCGGATCGGATCTGACTGGATCGGATCGGATCTGACCGGATCAGATCGGATCTGACTGGATCGGATCTGACCGGATCGGATCTGACTGGATCGGATCTGACCGGATCGGATCGGATCTGACTGGATCGGATCTGACTGGATCGGATCTGACTGGATCGGATCTGACCGGATCGGATCTGACCGGATCGGATCTGACCGGATCGGATCGGATCTGACCGGATCGGATCGGATCTGACCGGATCGGATCTGACTGGATCGGATCTGACCGGATCGGATCGGATCTGACCGGATCAGATCGGATCTGACTGGATCGGATCGGATCTGATCTGACCGGATCAGATCGGATCTGACTGGATCGGATCGGATCTGATCTGACCGGATCAGATCGGATCTGACTGGATCGCTGTGAAGACCATGACTCGACCCAACCGGCTGCATCCAGGAGACTTTATGGACAACGATCCAACAAAAACACAGTCCGTTTCCAAAAGGCTGAAACCAGAAAGCTTGGAATGGCCTATTCAAAGTCTGGCCTGCAGTGTGACTGAATTGAGCCACTGCAGGATGGCGGCTGTCGGCCTACGTTAGTTCTGGGCTTCTTGTGGGTTTTGCATGTCCAGTTGCAGGGCAGCTTCTCGCTTTAGACTCTTTTATTTCCTCTTTATTAATTTGTGAAATTGTAACATTTCTACTCTTTTTATTTCTAAAATAAACCGTCTAGCTTATCCAGAGGATTCGGTCTGGTTTGTCTTTTTGTCATCAAGTCGTTGAGCTTCTGGTTCATGAATGAGGAACTTACAATAAATGGTTATGATGTTGAGTTTTGACAGAAAAATCTCCCTTCATAACAGAAATGATATTTTAATATTGAAAGTGACACGAGAAGCTGGAAGTGGACGAAACGTTTTTCCCACAATGTCAACTGAACAAATGAAACTACAGATTCATGTTCTGTTGGTTAAAAATGTGTGAAACCAAATGATGACGTCATCACAATTATGATCATAACTGTTATTGTTCAGATTGAAGGTCTGAGATCCTGCACATTAAATCCAGCTTCCAGATCCGGGAGGATTAACTTTTCCAGACCTGCTCTGATTTTTATTTGCTATTGTCACATTTACGTTATTATGCAACTGGTGGGAAGCTGCGTATTATTTTCGTATTTATAATAAGTGAAATAAATCAGCAGCGGTCGCTCCCGGCCTTTAATAGACCCTGGAACCAGAGATGAGGCTCTCAGGTTTCTGCTCCACTTTCTCTCCTCCTTTAAAAGCTCGGGACACCTGAGAGGCGTCATTGTTCCAGGACGTCCGGACCTGCTGCTCCCTCCATCCTCCGGTTTTCCATCCTGCTTCCTGCAGCCATGAGTTTGAGTCGGACCAAGCGGATCAGCTCCAGCGGCTCCGTCCGCAGCGGCGGCTCCCGGCGGTTCAGCGGCTTCGCTCCGGCTGCGGCGCCGTTCAGCGGCGTGTCGCTCAGCAGCAGCTCCCTGTTCGCCGGCGGGCCCCACGGAGGGCCCCACGGAGGGCTGGGGGCCTCGCTCACCTCCCTGTCGGTCAACAAGAGCCTGTTGGCCCCCCTGAACCTGGAGATCGACCCCAACCTGTCCATGAGCAGAAATCACGAGAAAGAGCAAATCAAGAGCCTCAACAACCGCTTCGCCAGCTTCATCGACAAGGTCTCACACACACACACACACACACACACACACACACACACACACACACACACACACACACACACACACACACACACACACACACACACACAAAGTTTCAGTTGCTGATTTTTCATTTGCAATGTGAGAAAAATGTTTAAAAGTGAAATATTTTCCTCATGGAAATAAAACTTAAGAAAATAAAATTACTTGGTAAATTTTATGATGACTTTGTTTTGATTTTGAAAAATGTCAGAAATCATTTAAATGTTATAAAATCACAACTTTGACTGGATTTCAGCTTCTGGTTCCCAAACCTCTTCATTGTGAAGTTCACTAAAAAATAGATTTATTTTCTTTACATAAGCTGTTTATTTCCAGAATGAAGAGAAAAAACTAAAATAGTTTCAGACGCTCAGCAGAACCTTTAATGCCCAGAAACAAAGAAAACCATCAGAACTGAGCTGGAGATATATGTGGAATCATTTCCTGGTGATACTTTGTCATATTTTACTGATATATGAAGTCCTCCACCGGGCCGGACCGGGCCTTTCAGCTCCATGGGGGAACAAAGCCCGGCTTGTTTCAGGCGACCCGCTTTGACCCGCCTCAGGATGTTCGGCATTTTCTGACTCAGAGCTCAAAAATCTCACGTTTCACTTTTCAACATTCAGAAAGTCCAGCCGGGATTAGAAAGCTTGTTCTGACCCAAATGTTCTGGATACCCGAGCCTCCTGGCCCATTTCAGCCCCACAGAGAGAGACTGTAACCCGATCGATCTCCCAACAGAACCGGGCTTTGTCTAGGCCGCGCTGCAGCAGGAAACCAGAGCTGAACTGATACCGACCTGAAAACGGGCTTTGTGTTGGTCCGTCTCCTTCTGGCTGCCAAACCAGCAGCAGCTTCATGTTTCGACCCGCAGAGCAAACAGGAAAAAACCATCAGAACATTTTAACTTCCCACAGATCAGGGTCAAAGGTCATAACGTTCCTAAAACTAAAGAAACAGAAACCGTGGGAACCTGCTGACGGTTCCCTCTCCTGTCCGGTCCAGGTCCGCTTTCTGGAGCAGCAGAACAAGATGCTGGAGACGAAGCTGGAGCTGCTGCAGTCTCAGGGCGTCAGTCGCTCCAACGTGGAGCCGATGTTCGAGGCCTACATGGCGGCGCTGCGGCGGCACAACGACCTGGTGAACAACGACAAAACCAAACTGGACGGGGAGCTGAGGAACATGCAGGGCCTGGTGGAGGACTTCAAGCACAAGTACACACACACACACACCACACACACACACACACACACACACACACACACACACACACACACACACACACACACACACACACAGAGACACAGAGACACACACACACACACACACACACACACACACAGAGACACAGAGACACACACACACACACACACACACACACACAGAGAGAGACACACACACACACACACACACACACACACACACACACACACACACACACAGAGACACAGAGACACACACACACACACACACACACACACACACACACACACACACACAGAGACACAGAGACACACACACACACACACACACACACACACAGAGACACACACAGAGAGACACACACACACACACACACACACACACACAGAGACACACACACACACACACACACACACACACACACACACACACAGAGACACACACAGAGAGACACACACACACACACACACACACACACACACAGAGACACACACACACACACACACACACACAGAGACACACACACACACACACACACACACACAGAGACACACACACACACACACAGAGACACACACACACACACACACACACACACACACACACAGACACACACACACACACACACACACACACAGAGACACACACACACACACACACACACACAGAGACACACACACACACACACACAGAGACACACACACACAGAGACACACACACACACAGAGACACACACACACACACACAGAGAGACACACACTCTGCCCTCTCTCTCTTTCTCAGGTACGAGGACGAGATCAACAAGCGAAACAACCTGGAAAACGACTTTGTCATCCTGAAGAAGGTCAGACCATCATCATCATCATCATCATCATCATCATCATCATCATCATTTCATCATCATCATCTTCAGTCTTTCTGTGAAGAATATCAATTATTGAGTTCATTTCTGTTTGGATTATTAAAACATGGTTAAATTTGAATTTGAACTGGTTTCCTGCAGCTGCAGCCAGTCGGCTTTAAATCTGGTTTCTTTGGTTTATATCACATTTTATAGCTAAAGTTATGATTTGGTTGGATGGAAATGAAAGTCTCTCAATATCTGAGCTCATATTAAAAGTATTGGTTCATTTATTAGCCGCTATTTCAAATAAATGTGCTTCATGAAAACAGATCAATGAGGAGTATTGACTCCACATCTATCAATACAAACCTACATGTTTCTATTTCAAAACCAATTTATTTACAGCTACAAAAAAAATTGATCCCAATACATGCAATTGTTCAGACCAGAGCACAAACACGACGTTTGATTTATTGCTGATCAGTTTTTTGATTTAGTTTTATTTACAGACATACATTGAGGGCTGCCGGTGCCCCAGTTGGCAGCTCTGCTGCCTTGCAGCAAGAAGGTCCTAGTTCGATTCCCAGCCCGGGTCTCTCTGCACGGAGTCAGCGTGTTCTCCCTGTGCATGGCGGGTTCTCTCTGGGTACTCCGGCTTCCTCCACATCAAACATGACTCTCTCTAAATTCTCCCTCATTATGTTAACATTTATACAGAAGAGCAGCTGCAGTGGCGTCAGAAAGCCACTGTTTATGTTCCAAACTTGTGTTTTCTATGAAGAAGTTGTGTAAGTATGCAGAGTAATGAAACCTGCTTCATGTTTTATAGTCCATCAGAACTGAACAGATCCAAATCTCCTGCAGATTTAATGTTTTCATCATTATCAGAATATATCTGACCAAACCAGAGATGTCTGTCGTTTTGATCTGATGTGAAACAATCAGGAGATTTCTAGACCAGTTTCTTTGTCTGTATTTCCACTTGCTGCTCTAGTGCGGCCCCTAGTGGCTGTCTGAGCGCACTTCACTCACAGCTTGACCCCTGCTTGTCCTCTGACCTGCTAGTGCAGGTCAGGAGGCTTTGGGTGTCAGAACGACACGGATTGATCACAGCTGGATGCTAATCGCTGATCTCTGAACGTCGATCAATTCTCTCTGTCCGTTTTGTAAGATTAGTGTTTAGATCAAAATAAACTTATTCTATTTGTAAAAAATGTTTCAGGTTGTCTTTGAGCAACAGGAATGAATCTGATATTGACTTGAAACATCAGACTGATGTGTTCAAGCATTTATTTAACTAAATTATGATCATTTTCTGCTTACAGTTGATGTACATTTAACAATTTATCTCTGGATATTAGATACCAAAAACATAATATATCTATATAAATTCAGAAGTATGTTTGATAGAAAGATGGTTGTTTTCAGAAGGTGCTTCTGTTCTGAAAACGGTTCTGAACCGGTCGTTGTGATTGGCTGCTTTTAAAGCTGTCTTGTGCTTTGGGTGACTGTGCAGGATGTCGACTCGGCCTACTTGGTCAAAGCTGATCTGGAGGATAAGGTTGGCGCTCTGACTGATGAAATCAACTTCCTGCGCAGCGTCTACGAGGAGGTGCGTTAATCATCGGTCAAAACTTCACATTTTCCTGTTTTTAGGCTGAAGTTTCTGATAAAATCTTCACATTTTGAGAGTTTATTATTCTGGCCTCATCATGAGAGTGGAAGTTAAAGGAGGCCAGTCAGTCGGTCCATCCAGCAGCGGAGCTGCTCAGCCTGTAATATTTGAGTAATAAAGATAAAAATAATGTTAAACACAAAGCATTACTCAGCAGTTTGTTCTAGTTTCAGCAGTTTTCCCATATTATCAGTGAAATAATGCGTTAGCAGAGCTAGTAGTTGACCGGTTGGGTTAGGTTTGTCTTATTTCAAGTGTAATAATATATTAGAAGTAGAAATGAAACCAAAACCACTGGCTAACATTTTGTGTTTTTGCAGTGAGTAGTTAAGTTACGCCGTCTCTTATTGAAGCTTTCTCTGTGAACGTCTGGCTTCGTCGTGCAGGAGCTGCGTGAGCTGCAGGCCAGCATCAGAGACACGTCGGTGGTGGTGCAGATGGACAACAGCCGCAGCCTGAACATGGAGCAGATCGTGGTGGAAGTCAAAGCCCAGTATGAGGAGATCGCCGCCCGCAGCAGAGAGGAGGCCGAGGCCTGGTACAAGAGCAAGGTGCAGCGTGCCGCTTCCTGGGCTCGTCCAGCAGCCTGTCAGACTGTAAAGATGCAGAGTGACAAGCTGTCGTGTTTCCAGTTTGACCAGATGTCGGTGCAAGCCAGTCAGTTTGGAGACGAGCTTCGCATCGTGAAGGGAGAGGTCGCCGAGGTCAACCGGCTGATCAGCCGTCTGCAGAGCGAGATCGAGGCCGTGAAAGCGCAGGTGCAGCTCATACCATCCAGAAACACCTGATGAACATCCAGCACTGATTGTTTCTGGTGTCTCCTCATCAGCGAGCCGGTCTGGAAAACCAGCTGGCTGAAGCAGAGGAGCGAGGAGAGCTGGCGGTGAAAGAGGCTAAAGCTCGAACCCGAGACCTGGAGGACGCTCTGCAGAGAGCCAAGCAGGACATGGCCCGGCAGCTCAGGGAGTACCAGGTGGGCCGCCAGCAGGAAGAGGCCAAACACTGCCAACGGAAATCTAATCATCTGCTTGTTGCCTCTGCAGGACTTGATGAACCTGAAACTGGCTCTGGACATTGAGATCGCCACCTACAGGAAGCTGCTGGAGGGGGAGGAGGACAGGTAGCAGACAGGAAGCTCATCCACACACTGACAGAAACAGAGACAACCTGCAACTCAGAGGAAAACTTGGGCCTCAACGCCTTTATAGCAGAGAGAAATAATTTCTTCAACACTTTCACTGTTGATGACAAGTTTTGAGCCAAAGACTGTTTCAGCAGAAAGTCCAACCACAACAGCGTAGCAACACAAAGAAGTGTTTTTGTCTAAATTTTAATGCAAATATCTTCATGCATTTGAAGATATGCATGAAAATACTTTCAGTAAGATATAGGAGTTTGTTTTAAATAATAATTACCAGCTCTAGCTTCACTGGAGGATTTTTTTCACCTATCAGAGATTTTCTCATGTCAAAATCTGCTCTAAGTTTTAAGCTCCGATATTTTACTGAAAAGTTTCTTCATTTACTTTTATTTTAAGTCAACTACGATATTTGCACTGGAAAAAACTTGTTAGCATTTAAAGCTTCTGCAGTGAATGTCAGTGATGATCGGCTGATCGGCTTTACTGACAGGTTATTGATCACTTGAGTTTGATTTGTAACATCAATCTGCTGTTTGTCCTCCAGTTTCATCATTAAGGACAGACTGACGGAAACTGTTTCTGTGTCTTTACATAAAAGATGGCAGTAAATTGAACATTAAAGTATTTGCATGTTTTCATGAGAGATAATAAAAAAGACTGTAACGGATAAACGAGACCAGCTGCCCGAATGAGAAACACATCGGTTAGAAATACAGTGGCTGAGCATTTTATTCACAACAAAGCTGACTGAGTCTCAAAGTCTCATTGCAGTGACTTTGAGAGGAAAGTGAAACATGACTGGATTGTTTTTGTTGGTTCAGACTCGGGCAGCAGTCCATCCTGAACATCCAGGCCGTCTCCAGCCCCGGTACGTATCGTCACCCAGCCGCTGCTCTTCCTCTGATCGTTTCAGCAGCCATCGTTTACCGGAGGCAGACGTTTCATTTGTTTTGATTCTCTCCTGTTTCTCCAGTTCCTAAATACAGTAACGGTTATCAAGGCAGCAGCAGCAGCAGCAGCTCTCCGGCTCCCAAGCTGCTCATCAAAACCATCGAGACCAGAGATAACTCCAGATTCAGCTCCCACTGACTGCCATGCAGCAGCAACTCTCATAGTCAATATCTGAGATCAATACACTTAGAAACAGAACTGGGAGGCATGAAATGTTATAGTGGTATGTTTAGTAGCTCAATCATTTAGAGCAACTGAAACTGAAGCCAGTAATACAAGAAGAATATATCCAGGAGATAAACTTAGAGTGTAAAGACAGTCAGCTCCTCGGTAACTGAATTAATCTAATAATCATCTTTAGGTAGAAATCTAATCATGGATTTGACTGAATTTATTTGAATTATCTGGTAATTCACAAATACAAATCATTTTTGCAGGTGAGTTGTGCTTTTTTCTTAAATACATAAATAAAATGTTAATTTGGAAACAGGGTGGGATTATCACTGATTTAATTCAATGAACGGATTTATTTGATAAGAAAACAGATTATTTCTTCCTGTAATCTGATGTTATCTGAGATCAATAAATAAAATCTAACAACATGAGGTCAGAGTTATCTTGTTTGATAAATTTGTCATATTTAATCAGCTACTGCTCCAAATAAATAACAGGATGTTGTAGACCACCATACCACATCCATTTCAGAAAGGGAGATTATTTTCTGTCCAACCCAAATAATGTTAACATGCTGTTGTGAAAAACATCATGTATTCTAAACCCGATAGACCAAAAACATGCAAGCGCACGATTAGCAAATCAGCCATCACAAAGCAATCAGACTTCACTTTTTTTATTCTTTTTTAGCGCTAAAAAAGAGACGCTTACCATCACAGACTAGAAGTGAAACCAAGGGGCCCCGCCAGTCGATACAGCATATCATTAAAAACGGGAAGATTCGTTGGTTATGCTGTAAGAACACGGCCAGTGGTCATCCGATGTCCTGCGTCGCCTAAATCTCCATTTCCTTGGAGATGGGAGTGAGGAGATGATTCAGTTTCTGTATCAGTTACAAATACAAAGGCCTTTGTGTGAAAGAATGTAATGTGTGTAGAAGCATATGTGTGACCTTGGTAAGTGCCTCAACAACGTGTATTAGTTGTGTAAATTATTCTCATCCTCAGATAAAATGTAAGTATAGTTGTGTGAAAATGTTTTCAATCGTTAAAAACGCCACATATCATCCCCTGAGGACATTCTCCTGTTCACTCACCTTGTTCACAAATTTATAAAAACCGTCCAAAGTATAACAATATTTTAGTCATTTTGGTAAATGTGCCTCTTGAAGCTGTTTGGAATATTTCAATCATCAACAGATTTGAATAATGAACAGAAGCTGTGTCCAACAACATCCTGTTACCAGAACCTATTAGCATGGTAAAGGAAATGACATCATCACAACAGAATACTTGACTGGGTGAATAAATATATATTATACTAATCGTATCATAGTTGTATTTTAGGACTGAAATGAATTCAAGGAAAAGGTGCAACCATTAAGAAGTTGTTGAAATAAAATAAATGTGCCACGCTTTTTATTTTATTTTATGTTTGTTGGGGCAGCAGCATCACATCCAGAGACTGATAAAAAAAAAGGCAGGTTGTGCTTTGGTTCTGTTAAGGTTCTGTTCTGAGGATGATTGTGGAACCACTGGAGATTCTTTAAGACATCAAAAGTAAATCAATAAATTGTGAAAACCTTGAAGGTCGTCTGCATGCCAATGCTTTCCCACAGTGTGTCTCAAGCCAGGGGCTTCTGTAGACCCTGTAACACTGACAGCAACAGGAGCTCCTGGCTCAGCAGCACCTACAGCTCTGGAAGAACTTTTGGATTAAAAAAAATTCATTTCCGTTTACAATTAATAAAATATTTTGAATTGAAATTGAAGTCATATCAATATTCACTATGATTGTGTCGGAATTATACGAAAAAGGCGGCAAAAATCCTCAGACCTTAATTTATAATGAATAAAAGTTCTATGTGATTTTATGATGTTTTATTTCCAAGGCACAGATTGGATAGTTTACAAAGTAGCAAACAGTCGCACGTGAGCGCTGGGCGGCTCCGGATTGGAGCGTTGCCTCAGCGACGCTTCCCTCGCGCCTGATTGGTCGGAACCCCGAAGTTTTTTCGCGCCAACGCAATGCCTTGTGGGTCATGGTGGCGGAAGTTCGACGCTCGTGGAGGTTGTTGTTGGCGTTCTGCGCCGCTGTTGAAGTTTCTCCAGGGGGATAGCGGCGGGAACCGCGGCCGGGGCTCAGCGCGTGGATGCGGGGCGAAGAGTCCGAGTCGGGTACCGAGTCTGGTTCCGAGTCGGGCAGGATGGAGGAGAGTTCGGTCCGGAGGAGTTTGGACACTTTGTGTCAAGAACTGATGGACGAGCAGACCGCAGCTGAAGCCCTGGGCAACTTCACCGCAATATGGGACACCTACACCCTGGAGGTGAGCGAGGGAGTCCGGTTCTACCGAACCAGGCGGCCTGCGGCGGCCTGCTGCCAGAAACTCACTTCACCGGGAACTCCGACCAGGTCCGGAGGGAAACCCCGAGCGGCAGACACAAACCCGGGATTTCAGGGCTTCGGCGACCAGCTGCGTTGGGCCGGAACCGGCTGAGGAACCGGTGTTTACCTGGTTCTGGTGTTTACCTGGTTCTGTTGTTTACCTGGTTCTGTTGTTTACCTGGTTCTGGTGTTTACCTGGTTCTGGTGTTTACCTGGTTCTGTTGTTTACCTGGTTCTGGTGTTTACCTGGTTCTGTTGTTTACCTGGTTCTGTTGTTTACTTGGTTCTGGTTCTGGTGTTTACCTGGTTCTGTTGTTTACTTGGTTCTGGTGTTTACCTGGTTCTGGTGTTTACCTGGTTCTGTTGTTTACCTGGTTCTGGTGTTTACCTGGTTCTGTTGTTTACTTGGTTCTGGTTCTGGTGTTTACCTGGTTCTGTTGTTTACCTGGTTCTGGTGTTTACCTGGTTCTGTTGTTTACCTGGTTCTGGTGTTTACCTGGTTCTGTTGTTTACTTGGTTCTGGTTCTGGTGTTTACTTGGTTCTGGTTCTGGTGTTTACCTGGTTCTGGTTCTGTTGTTTACTTGGTTCTGGTTCTGGTGTTTACCTGGTTCTGGTTCTGGTTCTGGTGTTTACCTGGTTCTGGTTCTGGTGTTTACTTGGTTCTGGTTCAGTTGTTTACTTGGTTCTGGTTCTGTTGTTTACTTGGTTCTGGTTCTGTTGTTTACTTGGTTCTGGTTCTGGTTCTGTTGTTTACTTGGTTCTGGTTCTGTTGTTTACCTGGTTCTGGTTCTGGTTCTGTTGTTTACTTGGTTCTGGTTCTGGTGTTTACCTGGTTCTGGTTCTGGTTCTGGTGTTTACCTGGTTCTGTTGTTTACCTGGTTCTGGTTCTGGTTCTGGTGTTTACCTGGTTCTGGTTCTGGTGTTTACCTGGTTCTGGTTCTGGTTCTGGTGTTTACTTATATTTGATGCATTTCCTTTTTGCTAAACTCAGGACAATGGATTATTGTTATTCCTGTTATTTTTATTCCTGCTTTTGGTTTTTCCAGACCCACAACAATCCTGAGATTAGCAGAATAAATGATCACAATCGTTTTTAAACCGCAGCAACTTTCAAGACTAAAATGAAGTAAAAATGTCACTTTTTTCTGATCAAATCACATGTAGACTTTGTGTGCTGAGCATGATTTCTGCTGCTCTGCGTCCAGGGAGAGGTGGTCCACTGGCTGGCCTGTGCGCTGTACGCGGCCTGCAGGAAGGGCTCCACTCCCACCGTGGGGAAGGGGCTGATGGAGGGAACTGCGTCTCGCTCACCAGGATCCTGCGCTGCGCCAAGCTGAGGTCAGATGCTTCCTGCTGCACGAGAAAGCAGCAAAACTGCAGAAAAACTAAAACCAGCAGCGATGAGTTGCAGATCAACATGAAATTCTTGCCGCTCTTCTCAAAGTCCTGCTGCAGCTTTTAAGTCACAAAGACGCTGAAATTACAAAATTCACTCCCAAGTTTTTTTTCTTTTCAGATTTTTTTTGTTTCTTTGTTGCTCTGTTTGACAATTTTAATAATTTCTACCTGTTGCCCAAACTCTCTGACCAGCAGAGGGCAGTGTTCATGAAAACTGTCACATGCGGCGCTTTCCATATGGGACGGCTTCCAAACTTTACTAAGGAAATCAGTTTTAATTTATTATAAATATTAACATGTTTCACACTGAACTTTAAACGGCCCCGGCGGGACCCCGGGGCGGGTGGGGCCCCGGGCGGGCGGGGCGGCGGGGCCCCGGGCGGGGGGGGTTCCGGGCGGGCGGGGCTCCGGGGCGGGTGGGCCCCGGGCGGGGGGGCCCCGGGGCGGGTGGGGCTCCGGGCGGGCGGGGCTCCGGGGCGGGGCTCCGGGCGGGCGGGGCTCCGGGGCGGGCGGGGCTCCGGGGCGGGGGGGCCCCGGGGCGGGCGGGGCTCCGGGGCGGGGGGGCCCCGGGGCGGGCGGGGCTCCGGGCGGGCGGGGCGGGGCTCCGGGGCGGGCGGGGCCTCGGGGCGGGGGGGCTCCGGGGCGGAGGGGCCCCGGGGCGGGTGGGGTTCCGGGGCGGGCGGGGCTCCGGGGCGGGCGGGGCCCCGGGGCGGGGGGGCCCCGGGGCGGGTGGGGCTCCGGGGCGGGCGGGGCTCCGGGGCGGGGCTCCGGGGCGGGCGGGGCTCCGGGGCGGGGGGCCCCGGGGCGGGCGGGGCTCCGGGGCGGGTGGGGCTCCGGGGCGGGCGGGGCTCCGGGGCGGGGGGCCCCGGGGGGCGGGGCTCCGGGGCGGGCGGGGCTCCGGGGCGGGCGGGGCCCCGGGGCGGGCGGGTGTCTGGACATGATTTATGATTTATGTCCAGACACCAAAGCCGAATGCTTTCTGCTTCGTACTTTACCGTTTTCTGACTGGACGTTGCTGCTGCCGCCCTGTTCAGCCTCATCCAGTTCTTCTCCAAGATGCGGAAATGGGCCGACATGTCCAACCTGCCGCAGGACTTCAGGCTGCGGATGGACCGGCTGGAGCGCAACTTTGAGGTTTCCACGGTGATCTTCCGTAAGTTCGAGCCCATCTTCAGGGACATGTTCGTGAATCCCCAGAGATGCGAGGCCCCGCGGCAGCCGCGCAGCAGGAAGCACAGGTACCGAGGCGACGACGTTGGTTTGAATGTTGAAAGCTGTGCCTGTAAAGCAGCGTCTTTATTTTGGCAGCCTCACTGTGACTGTTGTAGCATCATTATTCTGCTTGGTTCCTGGAGCAGTAGGTGTCACCACAAGGGGGCGCCTATTCGCTTTTTCCACGTTGTTCAGATCATCGGCGATGCTGAGGAGCAGAGCGGTAAACTATCGTTACT